GAGAGTTAGAAAAACATTTTTGGATCAAAAAATTCGTCATTAGCTAAAGTATATTGGGCATTATTCATATCTCAAAAAATCTCACTTTCATTTTTCCACCTAATGTCCACGTGATTGCCCACTGTGAGTAGGTCAATATTGATAGAAGACACAATGACAGAGATGAACCAAATTTATTTCTAAAACCAAAAGTTTTGGCGCATTTGGATAAGCTGGTGAAAAGTTAGCCTGATGCGACTTTGGGAGCACTCATGAGGTTACATGAAGAATATCATCAAAAATCATCTCTAAAAAGTGGAGTTTTTGAGATGGCAAAAAATTTTAAAAATGTTTACGCAGAGATGCGGCTTTTGATGAATGCAGATTTGAATAAATTTAAAAGAACTTAATCTAACATAGATTCGAACAGAAACACCATTAACATATTATCACGATAGTCTTCGCTTAACTTAGCATCGTAAGGGTGTGACAGTGAATTTGGGTGAGAACGTAGGTCAAAGCATTGCATATATCCATCATTATTTCACCTAAACTTACTCTCATTAACATGCCTCACCTAAATCCACGTCAAGCTCACAAAACAAAAAAAGTAAATTGGAAGACATATTTGAGCTTATGTCTGACGATGAGGAAAATAAGAAGAAAAAAATAATTAACTGCCGACGTTCAACATAGAATTCTGTTTTTGTCATTTAATACTGACCAAAGAATAAACAAAGAAAAAATTGTTTATTGTTCTGCTACACCGCTATTATTTATAAACTGCACAATCTGATGCTTCTGTTTCAAAGATGCGTGAATCAGCAAAAAAACCACTTCGCCACCGCTTCGAGACGAGACGGTAGAACTCGGCGAGTTGCGAATCTCTGTTCTGTTCTATAGAAAAATAGATAATGAGTTGTTATACTCTATGCAAAGAATCAAGGTCGATTATTTCAAAAGTTGTCTTATTGCGTTCTTATCTGAGCGTGTGAGACGCTGTGAAAAATCTTTTTTTAAAGTATGACCGATTCAAATCATTAGCAGTATATTCTGACGAAACTCGATGTACCATACAGAAATATCTAGGTTATTACGTAAAAGCAGCTGAAAACTTGTCTTCTTATAGGCTTATTATTATTATTATTTTATATAAATAAACAAGACTTTTTAGCTTTCTAAAGTAAAATGAACTTTCCATTCGATTTTTTATTTGTGACTGTTGTCATTCGATCGGTCTCAGTGAGTAGTGAGAAAATGTATTTTCGCCTTTCCTTGCCAAACTGTGAACGTTTTATTCGATTTACGGTTTATCGGCGTAAATTGACTGGTAACTGTGTTTTAATAAAAAGACATTTTCATGGCAAGCTAGTATCTTAATAAGGATATGTTCGTTCTGGTTCAAACTTGAGTGAATTTCTAGTAACGACAAGATCTATCTATGAACCAAATTCAGTTCGAAATTCGATTATTTAGCTTACCAGTCAATTTACGCCCATAAAACGTAAATCGAATCAAACGTCCATTGTTCGATAAGGGGAGATCAGAAAACCAGACCAAAATAGGCTTTCTCACTATTCACTGAGACTTATCGAATGGCAATAGTCACAAGCAAATAGCGATGTGACAGATGAGGATATTCTCTCCTTAGTGGCAATCGATGTATTCAACAGATTGTGAAAGATTATGGAAGTAAATTTTGACTATCTGAAAATTAAAGGATTGTAGTGTCAAGTCAAAAATCAATTCTTTATTGGTTTCACTCAAAATCAGAATATAAGGCATTCTATAGAGTCTCAAAATTGAAACGATAATACTGACCCATTTAAATCTAGCACATTAATTATAAAAACTTACCATGCCATTAGACTTTTTCTGAGAAAAAGCGATGGTTTGTGACAGAGATGCGTACAGGACAGAACGGTTCTGATGTCCTGATGTTCTGTCCTATTATGGCCTGTTGCTCATCAGGACAAGACAGAAAAAGTTATTCTGTGCTCATCTCTAGTTTGTGAATAAAATGTGATGGTCACAACTGCAAAATCTCTCAATCAATTGTGACTCTGATCATATAAATGACTCATTTTATTCAATTTTATAGCCCTTCAATCAAACTATCGCAAGCATATAACAAATATATAACATACTCAACATTGATAAAACACTCAGTATATTCTTTAAATTATTCAATTTAAACTAGAATCTATCTATAAGAAATAACGATCAGTGATTCTCAGATCTTATATATTTAGTTTATATCAATATCATTGATATGGAATGCTATCCTGCAAAGAGACTTACACCTTTATCAGTTGACTTTGCAAAACAAATAACGTACGGTAACGAACAAGCTTTGCAAATACATCTGGACGAAAGATTTTACACCGGAGAAGAATTAGAACTATTTTATGCATCACATCTTGCGAATGGCAAAGTGTATGCTGATTTCACAAAAAAAATATTTTATGATCCTGATCAATGTATTGATTTTATTTCATCGTATGAATGGAAAAAAGTATTTTTAACACTGAACGATACATTTAGTCATATTTTACCATTAATTCATGATCTACCACAGATTGTGTATATATATATTCATTGTGAATCTCCTGATAAAATAAGCTTCGATACACAAAATTATCCAAAATTAAGAGCTATTTATGACGAGTTATTCAATGTACTTTATCAACTTAGTGCAGATATTGAAACATTCAAACAAGATTTGTTTCCGATAAATGTTGTCAATCCTATTCAACGAAAAACAAATTTATATACCCATGATAAATCAAAACATGAAGATTCTTCTTATATTCCAACACAAACTGATGGTTTATCGATCATTTGGATATACGATGACGATAAAACTATGGTTGACACATCAACTATAGAAAATAAAATAAATTTTATTAAAAAATTTGTCAATATCGATGAATGTATTGATTATATCCATTCATTAGAGAATAATACTCAAATATTGTTTATTTCATCAAAATTAAACAATGATTTAATTTTACCATTAATAATTAAATTAACAAAAATTTATTTTATTTATATATTTCACACTGAAGAGAATGTGGACACAACATTAAATCAATTTTCGAACAAAATTCGTGGAATTCATTCCGATATTAACAATCTATATAATCAGTTATTAAAAGATCACAATGAATTGTCTACTAGTTTGCAAATGTCATTTAGTATTTTTGATAAAGACAAAAATGAAAAAACTATTCGAAATTTACACAAAGATAATGCTCGTTTTATATGGTTTCAGTTATTAGTTGATATCCTTATAAAGATCCCACATAATAATCAAACACTTGATGAAATGCTGAATGAATGTGAAAAATATGAATCAAAAAATGAATCTATACAAACAAAAAAGATTATCAGTCAATTACGTGAAAATTATCAATCCAACGAAGCACTTCAATATTATACAGCTGATACATTTTTATATCGTTTATTTAATCGAGCGCTTCGTACAGAGAATATTGATATTCTTTTCGTATTTCGATTTTTCTTAGCTGATATGTATAATCAATTGCAAATTTTATATACAAAACAATTTTTAAACGATATGATAAATTCTGGTAATTCCTTACATCTTATTCGTGGTCAGCTTATGACTATTACTGAATTCGATATTATCAAACATAATATTGGTCGATTAATATCAATTAATGTATTTCTCTCAACAACAACAGATTATCATCTTGCATGTATTTTTGCTGGATTTGATGATCAACATAAATCATCGGATAAGGTATCTGTAGTATTTCAAATTGAAATTGATGATACTCGTCATTTATTAAAAAGACCATTTGCTTCTTTAAAAGAAATAAGTAAAATAAAAGATGAAGAAGAAGTACTCTTTTCCGTTGGATCAGTATTTCGTATTGAAAATGTTGAAAATGTTCCCGGTAATGATAAAAATTGGTATGTTCAATTGAAATTAGTTAATGATGATTATGAGAATGAGCTCACTGATCTTCGAAATGAATTAGAAAGAGAATTTTGTAATAATTGTGATCTATGTAATCTCGGAAGTGCATTAATTGAAATGGGTGAATATAATAAAGCTGAGCGATATTTTCTAATGATTCTTGAATATGGTACACAGGGTCAACGTACTACAGCTACTGCATACACCTGTCTTGGAATGATTTACCATAATAATGGTGATTATCCAAAGGCATTAGAATATCATCAACAAGCATTACAGCTTTATACAAAATTAAATGAAGCTCGTGATCATCGAGAAGATATTGGAGTGGCACATACTCATATTGGTTCGAATTATCATCTTATGGGTAATAAGCAGTTAGCGTTAGAATATTACAATAAAGCAGCTGAAATACAGAAATTACCGTGGAGGATTAGTTATACATTTAATCAAATTGCCTTAATACATCAAAATAATGGTAATTAAAAACAAGCATTAGAATATCTTCAAAAAGCATTAAAAATCGAAGAAGACGTTGTGAAACGAAACCAGTACCATCCATCATTAGCTACCACATATAATAATATTGGTGATACGTATTTTAGAATGGGAGATTACAATAATGCTTTAGAAACCTTACAGCATGCATTGAAGATACGTATTAAAGGTACAGTTTCAACACATACAGATCTGGCTGCAATTTATCATAATTTAGCATCTGTTTACAATAAGACAAACTGCATCCAGCAAGCATTAGAAATGCTTGAAAAAGCACTTGAAATTGATACTCAGGCTTTACCTGAAAATCATCCATCTTTAGCCATGGCACATAACAATATCAGCCAATCCTATATCAAACAGGGTAATCACGATAAAGCTTTATATCATATTGAAACAGCTTTAAGAATATTGTTAAAATCAAATGCAAAAGACAATGAATTATTTTCTAAATTTCAACTAAATCTTTCTGCTGTTCAATGTTTATTAGGTGATTATACAAATGCATTAAATACCGCACATAAAGTTTTAGAAAATCTAACAGAATCTCTACCTGAAAATCATCCATCGTTAGCCTTGACACATAACAATATTGGCGGAGTCTATACCAAACAGGGCGATTACAATAAAGCTTTACATCATGCTGAAACAGCTGTACGAATAATGTTAAAATCAAATACAGAAGACAGTAATTTACTAGCCAAGTACCAGGTCAATCTTGCTAATGTTCAATTGTCATTGGATAATGATACAAAAGCATTAAATATGGCAAATAAAGCTTTAGAGAATCAAACAAATACTCTACCTAAACATCATAAAAATTTTTCAGAGACCTATTTATGCCTAACAGCAATCTATATAATACAAAAAAAATTTCAAAAGCAACGGAATATTTAGAAAAATTTATCGAAAATGCTCGTCTTTGCATATTACCATATAATCAAGAAAAATTTCTTACCTGCCAAAAGAACTACATCAATCTTAAGACAAAACTTTATACGATCGATGAGAAATCTTTGAATACAGCTTATCTGAATGTTGATCAATTGTATAATGAAGGCGAACAAGTTCATTTGTTAACGTTGATGAATCAAGAACTTGAAGAAATCTCTTCGGATAATATTCGTGGACGTATTTCATTACTTAATAGTATCGGAACAATTCATGTGAGAGAATTGAATTATGAAGTAGCAAAGAAAGTTTTTGACGATGCTATTTCACTGTATAATCAATATCAAGAAGTCACTTTGACAAAGGATGCAATGGTGGAAAATTTAATGATACTGGTGTATTTCAATTTAGCTAGATTGTATTATCGTCAAGAAGATTGGACAACAGCTTTGCAAATCTTTCAAAAATCACTTAATATGGTTTTTGAACAAGATCAACAACATCCACAGTTAGCAGAAATTTATAATTGTTTAGGATTAACTTATGCGCATAGAAGAGATTGTTTAAAAGCTGAGCATTATCATAGATTGGCTGTAGAAGTAGCTGAAAAAATTCTTCCATATGACCATCCAAATCTTCAGCGATATCAGTATCAGTTAGGAATCTACTACCAGAACTCTACTTCAACTCGATAGAATTGGTATCCAGTATTCGTAGTAATGAATAGAAACAAGAATTTTTTAAAAAATCTTTCTTCATAAAAACTAAAAAATATTAATTATTTAAGATAGGGATGTCATACCTGCTATCACTGCCGCCTACATCTACTAAGGCGACAGTAAGTGTTTTATGCTTAAAAAAACTTTTATTTAGTTGGATGGATGTGAGTGTACTGTTACTCTTTCTGTCATATGTGTTATTCTCCCCATATTCTGTGCAACATCTTCGCCGACCGCTTGTCGTACCTGTAGCTCATTCTATTCTGTAAACTGACGAGGGAACCTCTTGAGGTTATAAATCGCTTTTGAACTCGGACTACTTGTATCTTGTAGACCTCAGTGAGTAGTGAAATACCCTAAGTTGGTTTATCCCCGTGGCGCTTTCTAATGGAGTTATACCTATTTCAGGTTTTGATCGAAAAACACGATTTTGCTCTTAAATCGTTGATTTTGCAGTCAAACAAAGTCCGATAGGCGTAATATTTGTATTGTGACCACTAGTCACAGTGGCCATGCTTCACTGAAAGTTTGAGCTATATCACTCAACGGCTTCCATAGTTTTCAAAAATTTTGAAAATTCTTCGAAATTTGCCGTTAGTACGTATGAGTGTGCTCCGAGATGGGAGCTTTTATAAAGCTGATATTTTGAGTGTCTAAAGAGGTAGTCATGAACTAATTATGGTAAAAATTTGAGCTCATTCCAACACTGCTAGACGCAGCTATAAAGTTTTCATTACCAGTAATATGCGTTTATTCTTCTTGAGTAACATGTGAAAAAGAGAACAAAAGAAAAGATCGATAAGAAGGACTGCTCTTGTTGATTGACATTGCTTAGTGCATGTGATATTCGAGGAAGAAATGATCGAAGCAGAGGATTTTACTGCAGTAGCTAGACCGTATGAACGAGAACGAGTCGCAAGGCGAAGTGTCACGGTGTGATTGATCAAACTTGAAGCAAACGTCCGTTACCGTTTGAAATTGACCTGGATGATCGTCGACGTAACCTCTCTTATGCTATGCAAAACGGATCATTGACTCATAGATGGGTGCCGAGATTTGGTTATGAATGAGCAAGTGAAGTTTGATGAGGTTGTTCCATTGAGCCATTTGGATATTAATATCGTCGAGGATGACACGATCGTAGATACGACGGGCAATGACCTTGTATTCACGGTTGAAACATATGTTCATAGAAAAAATCCAAATAAGAAATACAAAAACCCGCGCAAGTCATCAAAAAGTTCTTTTTCTGTCGGGAACAGAGGTGGGCGATGGACGATGATCTTCGCGAGATCCCGCGATTCTTCAGGTAGCGGACCTCGCGAGGAAGATTTTTTAAAAACGTGACGCGGCACGGGATGATGACGAGGCAAGAACTTCACGACGCGAACACCACGAAAAATTTTTTTTGTGAGCGAAAGACGAGATGGAGATGCTGGACGGAATACTTTTCAGTTCATACTTGAAAAGTATGTTTATTCTTGTGAACTAAGATGGAACAATGAATTGTATCCATAATTAACACTAATAATTTTACCTGTTGTGATTGTTGTGCACCATCATTATCAAAATTTAGTTAAAAAAGTCATCTATGTTTTTAAGTTTCGAAGCAACAAAGAATTTCAATTTATTCGAATGTCGATAACGTTAGTGAGTGTACTGTTTGTCAATGGATATTGTGTGAACAAAGACAATTTGTTGTTCGATGACTGGTACCGATGGAACCCGTATTATTTTGCATGCCAACGAACTGACTAACCCCCACATCAGTATATTGTGCAATGATTCTTGTGACATTTCGAATGAGAGTGCGTTTGGTTTTTTTTGGTCTGCTCTGGAAAGCCACGCAAGTTACAGATTTTTCCCTTATTCCGTTTGAGTTTGAGTGCTTAGCTTCTTGCGACGGGACACCCGAAAAGGATGCTTTCGACTTGGCTGAGCGCGGATTCACATGAAAACATAGATTATCGGCCATGTTGAAGCTCGTGGCAATGTTTGTACTCTTCTCCAAATGGATCCAAGGTAGACAAAGAAAGATTCACAACTTGCTTTCTAAGGAAACTTAAATTTCTAGGGGATTACAGAAAATCTATCGGTTTTTTAAATGTGACCAATGTGACCAACTGTTTTCCTGTCGATACGATTGTGCAGAACAACGTCTTACACGTCTATCCCGAAAGTTTGAGATCAATCAGTGGAGAACCGGCTTTATTGTAATCATTACATTGGAGAGCAGATGAGACTATAAATCCTCTGGTCCGCTAATCTTTGTCTGTCTACCTTGATTTATTTGGAGAAAAAAACAGACATTACCAAGAGCTTCATCATGGCTGATAATCTATGTTTTCATGTGATTCTGTGCTCAGTCGAGCCGAAAAGCGTCTTTTTCGGATGTTCCGTCGTGCGAAGCCCAACACTCAAACAAAATAAGAAAAAATTTGCAACTTGCACGCCTTCCTATAGCAGACCCTGAGGTACAACATCGATGAATTCAAATGATCCCGAAACATTCACGCCGGATCCGACGTTGTTTCTTTTTTGCTTCGATTTAAACCGAATTCGGCAGTTACGTACGATAGCCGAATACGATCGTATTCCATTGTGTTACCTCCCTCCTGAATTACGATCTTATTTTTATCGTATACGGTCGTCAAGGGCCGTGTACGACTGTTATAAATGACTCTATCGTGTTGTTGACGACGGTACACGGTCTTAGATATTTTTACATTATTCCTCTTTTCATTTTCTTTTTCTTTTTCTTACTTTCTTCTTCGTTGCGTTACTTTCTACACTCTTCGCCACTTATTTTGTTGTTTATCAGGTGGATGCACGTGAAAAAGGAATTTCGTTTTCTCTAGCTTCCACCAGCATATTCAGTTATTATTTTTTTCTTTGTATTGTGAACCTATTTATATGGTACAATAAGCTCTACTATGGGGAAAAGGTTTTCGAGCTGGGAATGTATGTATCAGTTTGTCTTTGATTATTCTCAACGAAAAGATGCATGTGTGGTTGGATGAATAATTGTAAGTTTAACACGAGAAAAATAGTTTAAAAAAATGAACATTTTCCGTAGATAGATCAGTTAAAGAGCATATTTAAGTGACGAAATGAAATCGATGCACTTTTCTGCACGTTGTGAAACTTCTATTTTTAGATAAGACAGTCACAAGATGTCAAGTTCAGATTCAGAGGCGTCCTTGAATGATAATAATGATGATGAAAGCGATCAACAAGAAGAGCAACCTGTGGAACTGAACAAGAATTCGGAATGGTTAATGAAACTGATCCAGTCAGTTCAACCATCGGAGGCCGGACTAGGCATAGCGCCACTATCTGTTCTCAAAGAGGTTCAATCTGAACTTGTCCAATTGAAAGCGGTCACTTCAGATAAAGAGAAGCTAAGCGATGAAACGCGCAAACAACTGCGACATCGTTTTCTCCAACCATGGACTGAACTAACGACGACATGTGTTAGTATTACTCTTATTGATCAAGCTTCCATTTGTGAATGTTTCGACACTGTCTCGTCGATATATGCTATTGCAATCCCAGTTTTTCGTGACCTTTTTAAAGGATATAAGGCCGGAGATTCTCAAAGCAGATTATTAGCTGGCTTGGCCATGCTCGATTTGCCACACATTCCTGTCTTTCTAAATGCAGATGGTGAATCGCCGGGTGAACTCATGAATTATGCCAAGGTTTATCGTATTTTGTCTATCGCTTGTCCAACCAGCCCCTTGATCTCGTCGGACGCCATCGCCACACTTCACAATCGAGTCAAACTGTTTGTAATATTGAAAAATCGTGTCGATCAAAGAATAGCATCGACAAATGAAAACTCGATGGGAACCAACACCACCCGCATCCTTTCCTTTTTTTGGAATTTGAGTGATCGAACCATTGTCGTTCCAATACTGATAGAGGCCGGTCTACATAAGAGTGCCATAAGTTGGCTATCACAATCGGACAAAGTATCAAATAAACAGTGTAGAGCATTTATCGCCACTTTATACAATTTAGCAAGACACGACGACGGAGCCGACGAACTCAACAGACATGAGGCGATTGAGGCAATCAAACGCTTTCAATCCACGTATGTATGCCTCTTTAGTTTTGTTTTATTAACTTACGAAACCGAAAGGAATTCTAAATTATGTTCTCCTTGGCTCCAATACTATTACTGGGTGTGCCAAAACTTTCGCAACATCCTTCTTTTATAAATATTCGACCAGAGAAATAATACATGATTCTACCCAAGCAAAAGAAAAAATCGATAAGCTAACTCAACCTAGGTAAAGCGGTTATCCTTAATAAGCATAATCGCTCAACTAGCTAAATGTACCGCTTTACCTAGGTTGAGCTAGCTTATCGATTTTTTCTTTGCTTGGGTAGCTTTGCCGTCCGAAGATGGAAAACTTGTTCTCTATAAAGTTCTATTATCCTTAATTCGAAACAGTGTACCAGAAAATGTTAATGGGCTACACTGTGTGATTCAACTATGGGTATTGCCACTCGCTGAGGGTGTCAAAACGAGTGGCAATAGCCATTACGTTCAATTATTGGAGCCTCCTTCTCATACATTTTTTCTGTTCTTACAACGAAATTAGAAACAGGCACCAAAAGTACTTGTCAGTCGACTACACATCAAATGCTGTTTCAGAATTATTTGTAAATATTTGAGCACAACTTACATTTGCCTAACAGCACACAGTCGGCATTTTTCTATAGAGCAGACGGATATATGCTGTAGAAGTGGTATGAAAGCCTATAAACACGTTCTTCTATAGGTTTTCGAATATGCTCTTTCTAATGATGAAATTTTCAGTACTCAGAAATAATTCCTTGTGGGTTTTCTGGAGGCCGGATCTCTGGAAAATCCATAAAAAATATTTTTGCATTTCGAGAACCTCACTATTCGAAAGACCATATTCGAAAATCTATAAAAAATGTGTTTATAGACTTGTGCACTATTGCTAAAATAAATATCCAAATTCCTAAGCAAAATTTGCTGCGGACAAGCTTTCAAGTCTATAATTCAATTTGATCGAAAATATTTCTGCAGAAAAATTAAAAAGCTATACATCATTTGATGCAGTTTTTCACGGTGATTCCGAATATGGCATTATTTGTACGAAAAAGCGCTTTGGTGAGAGAGAAAAATGTGAAATACGTGAAAACCCCTTGGATTTTGGAAAATCCATAAAACGTCCTTGAAAAATGTGCGAGATTTTGCGATTTTAGAATACATAAAGTAGCGTTTGAGGGACATTTTGATGTGTTTGAATGTTATTTTCGCGTGGGGCTAACGAGGGCGATCCGATTATACTGGAGTACTGTTACTACGGACTGACGTGATGGAAAACATGTCGCTCTTACTTATTGAATTCGGCGCCGAAATAGAAATACTTTGTTATCAATAGATAGCTGAAGACGTGCTGGTTCTGAATATCTGCTTTGAAATCGAGTACCATAATTGAGTAAACAAAGAATCTTTATTTCGTATGTAGTGACGATATCCGTAATCGGTTTTGTGTACCGTGATTTCTCGTCGTAGGAACCATTTTCAAAATAGACATTTATATACCGTTCGATAGCCCTTTGAAAGGGCTACATTTTTCACTATTTGTATTTGAATCAGGATCAACTTCGATTTTTCACCTAATTTCCGCCTGGATGCCAACTGTGCAGCAGTGACCTGCCTAAACTCCTACAGCAAAAACTGACATTATTTGACATTATTCGAATTTTTCTTCCAGCTGAATCGTTTTACCAAGCGGGTTTCAAATCAAGAGACAAATTCGTTTTCATCAAAACTCTGCGGGAATTATCTCGGTCTGATCATAAAATACATGTCTGGGATGCGTTTTTCCAAAGCTAGTAACCAACGGGGAAAATGTTACACTTTTCAGAATATAGCATGCCGTCTAACCTAAAGAATGTGCATTAAACAATTTCGTATATATGCACAATCGACAGAGCCACCATTCAAATTAAGGCTACTAGAGCTTTGCAAAAAAGAATTCTCCATCTTTCTGACGGCAAAGCTGGGATCACATATTGTCTATCGGCCCAAATATTTGTAAAAGCAAGGATGCTGCAAAACTTTTGACACACCCGGTATAATAGTAAGAATCGACCGCAGTTTATTAGTTTGAACTTCACAAAGATCTGACAATGTTTTCGTTTGTACATTCACCTAGGGATAGAGTGAAGACGAATACAAAATTATCACTCTTGTCCTCGATGGCGTTGGCTCTTCTCTCCACACCCGAACAACTTAAAAGTGACCAGAAGGGCATGAACGGTGTGCTCAATCAACTTCTTCAATTGACAATAGGCGCCGCAAAAGGCTCTCGTCATCGGTGCGGTGGTATTCACGTCAGTGAACCTCTAGCTGTATTGGCCAAATTATTCGTTGTCGAAGAGCGTACAATCGACTACATTCTGTGTCATGCTGAAACTAAACCTCCGTCGGATATGTCATCGACCATACGCCTATTTGCTTCGCTCCTCCTGACTTTCCGTAGTGCACTCGACGGCAATGATCCACTCAAGCAATTCACTTTGATTGCAGTGCTCAATATTCTTTGGAGTATCTCATTTCAGGCACAATATTCCCGAGAGCTGATCGCCAGTAATGATGAATTAATATCTATTGTCAAAAGTCTGGCCGAAAGTGACGACAAAAAGACTATTAATCAATACAAGCCACGATCAATGGAAGGTATAAAGGAAGCTGCTCGTGGTATTCTTCTCAATCTTGATATAGACATCAATGATAGCAGCAAAACAAAAGAAGAAATACAGAAGGACAAGAGTAACGCATTGACTGCATTGTCATTGCGCAGGTATGTTTAGATAGATTTAGTGATACTCTGAAAGATTAATGCCAGAGAGTAAGCGTTGAAATTCAGAACTCAACTTCTATCTAATAAAAATATCATATCCGACATCAGGATCAAAAACCGAAGCTAGTGATGTGTATTTAAATTTTTAGTTCATTTTCAGTTTTTGATGAAAATTTTGCTACGTGAAAATTCAAAAAAAATCAAAATACTCGCTTAGGGTAGAGATACACATCACTAGCTTCGGTTTTTGATGGTGATGCCGAATATGATATTTTTATTAGATAGAAGTTGAGTTCTGATTGAGAAAATTGAGAATTATGAGCAGAATTCCGAGTTTTTCGGTTCTGATTTAGAAAAAACGAATTTTCTCAGCAAGGAAAAATAAATTCGAAAAAAGCGATGCATACTTTTAAAGCTGGAGCTAAGGCGCATGAAATAACGGAGGAAACTTGGTTGCATCATTTCACAGAAAAAACTAGATAGGCTTGCAAAATGACTCACGTTTATTTGACATTGGCCCATTCGAACGTCGATGGTGCGCACAGGGGTTTACCTTCAAAATGAAGCTAATACCATTTTTCTATTCAGTTTTGAACGCTGAATAAGAAAAAATTGTTTGAAAATTCTCCATCTTGAAATAAAATGAAAATTCAAAGTTTGTCACATAGAAAGGATTTTTCGATTTTCGAGATCCTTCGAGTTTTTTCAATTTTTCAACATGAAAGGCTAGTTCTAAAAAGTTAAAAGCTATATATTCTGAATCAGCGTAAAATTTTCTATCCAATGATGTATAATAAAGCCGAAAACAAAATTTTACTTGAAGTTCTGATGCTTTATATTGTATATTGTTCTTTTTAATCGATATTACAGCGACAACAAGAGACCGTCTATCATGATCAGCTATTCGCACAGGAATAAAGAATTTTGTGTAAAAGTCCTTGAACTTCTGTCTACTCGGAATGATGTATTCGATATATGGATTGATCAAACTCATTGTCAATCCGTCGGCGATCTTTGGGAATCGATTGCTGATGGAATGGAACAAGCTCAGATTATTGTGTGTCTTATATCGAAGCACTACTATGAGAGTAAATCATGCCGTCAAGAATTCCAGTATGCTACAGACACGTTACACAAGTCGATTGTTCCCGCTTTTTTAGAAGACTTTGAACCTAGAAGCTGGCTTGGTAAGTCGACTGTCATCTATTTTTGCATCTATAAATAAAAACTAACACTTCAAATTGATCCTTCTACGTAAAAATTCGAGAGCCCACATTTTCGTCTATTGAAATGAGCACTAACATTTGTAGAAGTGGATCAGTTCAATTTTGATAAGACTATTAATATACGAAGTTCTTTGTCTTTATGTTAATGAAAAATTCTGCTGTTGATAGGGCTAGTATATTTTAGCGGTTGTGACCCAGATATGAATAGGTTCTTTTTGTTTTATCATAGGCATTCGGATTTCGGGCGTCAAATACATTCGCTTTCGAAATCTTGCTCAACCAGACAAGGCCAAAATGGCCGATCTCTTAGACACAATTCTTGCATCGTTTGCGGCATCATCATCATCCTCTCCTGAAGTATTATCCGCTGTCCAGCACTCTTCCAAGCAACACCAAAGCTACGAGCCAGAAATAACACATGATAAAAATTCTACCATTGATTCTCTTCGACTACCAAACGAACAGTGGTCAACGGCGACAATTGACGATATCAACAATTGGTTTATCTATCATCACATTTCATCACAAATTCGTAATTTGTACAATTTTCAAACGGGTCAAGATATGCTTCACTATGCTCAAATGCTCGTCGATGATTATGAACAACAATTTCAAATCTACTCAAAAGCATTCAGAAAAAAAACCAATGACGATGAATTACTTCCACATGAATTTGATCGATTTAAACGAGCGATGGAAAAATTGCTGAAAGATAATACTATATCTCTTCCTTCTTCGATGTCCACTAAGTACGAAAGAGTGTCCACAAAGAATCCAGCTACATCAAAGTCAAGCACTTGTTGCATATTGTAGTGTGAACTAATAATTAGGCAAACAAATTCCTTATTAATCACAATCAAACTGTTGTTGTTTTCGAAAAGCAATGTCGCTGACTGTTTTTGAATAACTCCAGAATGGGAAGAGAAAACGAACTTCGGTTTTCATCATTAAAAAGGGCAAGTTGAGCGGCGTACATATACAGCTATATTAAAATCACTGAACTGAGCGATAAAAGCACCTATTGATTGCATCTTCGAATTTTGATAAAAATTGCAGGGAAAGTGATATAATCCTAACGTTTACTCATTGAAGAAAACAAGAATGTTTTCTTTTAAACGCGCAAAAACAACGCTTTTACAGCATTTTTACGAAAATCTACATGTAAAAGCACGTTTTTCTATGACTGGGTAGCGAACTCGATCTTGTACAGATCGAAAACAATTTTTTCTCCCGAACGGTCACCTTCGAATTCAAAATACAATGAAAACTTTTTTCAGTGCATACTTTCCGAAATGTGCATCAAAAACAGACCCAGACTGATCACTCGTTAACTCATCATTTCTAACGTAGATCGACATGCCCGGTATTCTCTTTCAAATAGTGAAAACCGCAGATCTCTAGCTCTTTGCGTTCTCAAGTCATTCAAGTCGCGACGGGTGCATTATATTTTGAAATGAATAGTACAGTAGTTAGTTGGCCTCTCATCTAATGCAACAGATGACTGAATATCTTCTGGAGTACGTGCAAACATCATTCCCACAGATAAACAGCAAAATTTTCTCATAAATCAATTGAGTTTAGGACAACAAGATTTGTAGAAAAAATCAGCATAGCTACGAAACTGCGTTTCTTAGTTCTGGACTTTTCCTTATCGGGATCAAATCTGGTGATGAAATCTTTATGATCGAATTATTTGGTGCGAAGACCTATGATGTATTTTTTAAATATATGGACTGAAAGAGCAAAAACAACCGTACAAAATGTATTTTAGCATGAAACCAGAAAGAAATTTTCAGTACCATGCAAGGCTCTTTTGCGAAGTCGATATCTTGGTGAAAATGAGCATACGTTTCAATCGATAACAATTCTAAAGTGTACTCTACCTTTTTTTAATTCAAATTCTGAAACATGCATCACTGTAAAACGCACGCTAAATAAGATTTCAAGGATAGCATTCATATGCGTTTTGGTCAAATAATCCGTATAAAATTAATCCTATTAAAAAGAACAAAATGATGTTGGCAGAATGAGACCCAGAAAAGAAAGTGAGTTTTCTGAGAAAATACAAACTTCTTACATGACCGTAATACTTATTTTTAGGTACTTATTCAAAGTAGCAACACCGATGACGACGAAGAGCAAGAAAATCCAGTGCAGGTATGAATGATAAATTAGAAAAAAGTGATACCGATTGGAAAATGGTCTTGGAATTATGGCGATCAACATAAAAAATACGTCGAAAATTTGTGAATATGAATATAACCGATGAAATATTGAAGAAATATCCTAGTTATAAAATCCCAATATTGGTATGCCTGAAGTAAAGTTATTCGACCAAGAGAGTTTA